CTTTCTCCATATAGGTTGCTCTTCTGAATGATGGTTGATGTGATGGAGCTATATAGATCTTCTTACTTAGTTTCAGGACTGAAAACAAAAGAAAGCAAGAAGCAATTAAAATTACATAGGTACACAGGAGACTAACCAATATATATGAGCATGAGTCTTCCTGGGAATTCTGTCTCTAAATTGCCTAGCCAGTTTCAGGAAGATGGCCTTGGGTTGTTCTTGCAGGCGAAGATCAAAGGCCTCTGATGGAGCTGCTTATAACTTTTTGAGATTCTATATATGAATGTTGACTCACATTTAATAAGGGAAGAGAAGTCAACATCTTTTATACTAAGATCTAAACAAGAGGGAAAAGGCTGTTTAAAAATTAAACATAGATAGGTATAAAGGTATTTATGCATAAATATTTTTCTAGGAAGTAATATCAATTCATATACATTTCCCAGAGGAAGGATGTCATTTTCAGTTCCAAATTTTATGAAGCAACCACATACAGAAACACATCGGAAGAAAGGGCATAGGAACTGCACAGCAGATCCTGTGAAATGAATCAAGGAAGTCATAGTTTGGCAATTACTCTTATAAAGATATTGCAGAGATGGGAAAGCAAGCACATGAGTCAGAAGTTAGTGATATTTTCTTGGTTTTCCTTTCTTAAGAAATTATTAATTATAAAGTCCATGCACTAATGAACTTGTGAAGTGATCTAACCATTCTGGAGAGTAATATGGAACTATGCCCAAAGGGCTATAAAATTATGCATACCCTTTGATCTAACAATACCACTACTAGGTCTATATCCCAAAGACATCAAAAAAAGGGGGTGGGGAAGGACCTATTTGTACAAAAATATTTATAGCAGCTCTTTTTGTGGTGTCTAAGAATTGGAAATCAAGGGATGCCCATCAGTTGGGGAATGGCTAAACAAGCTGTGATACATGATTATAATGGAATATTATTGTGCTATAAGAAATGACCAGCAGGATGATTTCAGAAAAAACTGGAAAGACTTACATGAACTGACATAAAGTGAAGAGAGCAGAACCAGAAGACTGTTGTACGCAGCAATAGAAATATTGTACAATGAAGAATTGTGAATGACTTAGCTATTCTCAGCAATACAATGATTTAAAACAATACTTAAGGATTCATGATGAAGCATACAATCTGCCTCCAGAGAAAGAACTAATAGTGTCATACAGACCAAAGAATGCTATTTTCACTTTCCTTCATTCTTCTTCTTGTACAAAATGACCAATATGGAAATATTTTACATGATTGCACATATATAACCTATATCTGATTGCTTACCATCTCAAGGAGGGGCGAGGGAAGAGAGGATGGGAGGGATAGAATTTGAAACTCAAAACTTTTTTAAAGAAGGTTAAAAATTATTATAACATGTAATTGGGGAAAATAAAATATTGTATATAGTAGAAAAAATAATGAAGTCCATGATTTTTTCCATATATTGGGTGGGATCCTTCCCACTTTCAGAAATCTTGAAAAAAAATCAGTCTTTCAAGGCCTTCAAAATAATGCAGGTTTTAGCATAGAATTTTTATGCCTACATGAGCTAGTCCTGCTGCTGTTCCCATTTTTTTCCCTCATGAGATAGATGGTGGATTCTGATATTTAAAGCCAAATATCAAGTTAGTCAACAATCATTTGTCAAGTGTCTACTTTGTGTCAGGTACTATGCTAAGTGCTAGGGATACAAAGAAAAGCAAACAGTCCCTGTTCTTAGGGAGCTCACATTCTAATGGGGGAGACAACATGTGAACAACTATAGGCTGCAAATAACTCCAAATAAATTGGTTCTCTGACTAATTTATCATAACTAGTTGAATCTAATTGGCCTCTGAATGTGAGCCATGGTGGGCTTCAGAGGTAAAAATCACACACATATAATCTCTACTTGGAAAAAATGGTTAGAGAGCAAAGTAATCTGAAATCCAATCATTGTAGGATATGTCTGTGTGCTCTCCATACAACTTGCTGCCAGATGTAATCCCTTCACATTTTTTTCTATGCCTGGCAGAAATTGGGATTTTAATTTTTAAATATGTCTACTGATTCAGCTAAAAGAAAGATGACCTTCATGGTTGGGAAAGGGCAATAAAAAAGCAATAATCTCACCAGGAATTTAGTTTTGTTACTTTTTGTAGACAAAAATAGTCTTTTATTGGTAAAGTACTGAGAACCTTAGCTGGTAGATGAAAAAGAACAAAATGACTGGCGTGACGGTAGGGTTTGTGATGGACTTAATGGTGCTACTTATAGGTGCACAGTGTTCCTTCTACTCCTGATGCCTCAATCTACCCTTCTGGCAGCACATCTGACATCACCTATCAAATGAAAGCTGGCATCTACAATTTACTGGAAATGCTGAGGAAGCCTCATCACTGTCAACTAACAAAATGGTTGTGGTACCTTGCTGTAACTGGCCTTACTCAGCCTCTAACCTCTGACAGGTGGAATGTTAGTTACCAAAGAAAGAGCATGACAAATTTCCTAAGGTTACCGGATTTATGTTCTTGGAATGTTCTTTCTCCACCCTCTCTCCCTTGATCAATAATAGCTAATGAATTAAAAATATTGTACAGACTTTGATGCATGTATCACCCATCTCTGTATTGGGTCTTTTATCTACTGATCCACATGGACAATGAACGTTACTCATTTCTATATCCACTTCACTGCCTAGCATAGTATGTTAAGTAGGGTAATTCACTAAATAAATGAATTGACAGAAATCTAAGGCAATATTTTTAAGTGCAGGGCTGAATTGCTGTAACCATATAGTGGCTAAGATTTCATTTTAAGTCACCAAAATAGACTTGGTGACTCATAATTTTTAAACTTTATACTTGGAGATATATTTCTCATTTCCCCGTACTACCAAAGTTCCAGAGAAACAGTCCTCACCTCTGCACCAGTAACATATATCATTGTAGAACCTGTGACCAGTGTTTCTATTGACTCCATATAAGCAGTCACACTTCTGGAGTGACCAGATTTGCTAATTTCCAAAGAATTGTCTTTGTCCATTAAAAATATACACATGTGGAGGGAACTCTTTCCCTGACTTCAGATTAGCAACTCTTGTATAATTTGTATTCTTAGAAGGTTCCTTAGGTCACTGGAAAGCTGAGTGCTTATCCGAGGACATGTAGAATGTGTGTTAGAAGTAGAATTTAAATCTAGGTTTTCCTGACTCTGAGGTTGGCCCTCCATTCATAACAATTCCAAGTTGCCTCTCAGGTATGGTATTATTATTATTATTCAATTTGAATAAAAACATAGAGATCATTAAAACCAAAGTTATTGTATAATTCTATAAAGAATGAGCTTCTCATCTAGCATTCCTGGAAAAGGAAACTCAAATAGTACAGCTGAATTAAAATGTAGAAAATTTGCAAAAACCCTATTGCTAAACTATTTTAACTTTTTGTTAGACTTAATGACTTCTTTATAGCCAAGTGGATCTTAGGTTTTTTTTTTTAAGGCAATTGGGGTTAAGTGACTTGCCCAGGGTCACACAGCTAGTAAGTGTCATGTGTTTGGTCTGAGGTCGGATTTGAACTCAGGTCCTCCTGACTTCGGGGGGGGGGGCATGGAGGAGAGAAGGGAGGATGGAATATACATTGTACTCATGTGAAATTCACTCTGGGACTTATTTTCTTGGTTTTAACCCACCGGGAGTTCCAAGGATACACCTGTCATCTTTCCAATCTGATAACCCTGAGTCTAAAAAAGAGAATCAGCATCCCAAATTCTTCACACAGATGCCAAAGTAATTTTCCTAAAGTACAGACTTGATGAAGTCCCTGCCTGCTCAAAAATCATCTTATGCTTCCCTATTCCTTCTAGAATAAAATGCAAACTCTATCACCAGGTATTTAAGATACTCCACATTCTCATTCTAGCCTATCTTTCCAACCCTATTTCACATTACTGCCCTCTCTGTAACCTATGTGTACCAGCCAGAATGGACTACTTCTGCCTTTGACCACATGCTGTGTCTCCTGTTCATTCTTGGGGACTAGTTCCTCAGGCCGGGCACGCAGGACCCTTTCATCTCCATCTTTCATAATGTTCCCCTCTTTCAAGATTTAGCTCACTGTGCTACTTCCTCTGTGAAGCTTTCCTTAATTCTTCTCTACCCCTCCACCAAGTGTTCCCTTTTCCTGAAGGAAGCACTTTGCCTTGATCTCTTCCTTGTCTCATAACACTAGCTTGTTTTAGAATTATTTGAATATATGATGAATCTTCCTTAGTAAGCTGCTTAGGAGTAGAGGTGTGTGTATGGTTTTTTTTTTTTTAATCTTTGTATCTCAATTTATTCTAGTGTTTTGGATACATGTGCTTAATATATTTGTTTACCTGAATTTGAATTCTAATTGCTTCAAGTTGCTTGGGTGTGAAGGGAACTTCTACAGGACCTAGAATTTATAGTAGAGAATCAGGAAAAGAAGAAAAAGTGAAAGAAGAAACTTAGGTGTGGAGGGAGGGGAGAGAGGATTGCTTCATTCAACATACTGGTGTCCTTTCTTTTCTGAGTGTAAGTTACTGGAACACAAATGTACCTGTAATCAAGAAGAGAAGTGGTTAATCAAAGTAACCAGACCTCACTACAGAACTTGAGAAGTGTTGAACAACTGTTAAAACAGGTCACTTTGAATTGAAAATTGATGAATTTCTGAGCAAAGACGGGTCATGACAGGAATGAGATTTTAACAAGATTTAAAGATATAAGGTGCCATAAATAAGACAGAGCAAATTGAAGGCTGAGCACGAACATCGGAAGGAAAGACCTTAACAGTAACATTGCATTGCAGGGAATAATAAACTCAAAAAAAAAAAAAAAAAAAAAGCAGGATTTGGAACACTGAAGTAACCAAGGAGATAGGAAATCAGTGACAGCAAAAAAGGAAAGACGCTGAACGCTGGAAAACAACTACCTACCTCCCGGGGGCGGAGTCTTGCCCCAGGACACACCCTCGAACTCAAACTGAGCCCAAGTTCCGGCTTTGGCAACCTGTTCCAGGGACTGACCAGAACCCTGGGAGGTAGAGTCTGGAGGCTCTCCCGCACACACCCGCACTGCGACCAGCTCAGACTCCCCACTGCAGCCTCTCCGACTGCCTGCTAAGCTCAGGACTTCTCTTACCCTAAGGACATCTATACTTCCGACCCAATCATGACTGACAAGTCTTTGTTCGACACCAATGTCAGTACCCTGACCCGTTTCGTCATGGAGGAGGGCAGGAAAGCCAAGGGCACCGGCGAGATGACCCAGTTGCTTAACAGCCTTTGCACCGCTGTCAAAGCCATCTCCTCTGCGGTGCGGAAAGCAGGCATAGCCAATCTGTGAGTGTTTACTTCCTGCTGTCCCTTCGCAAGGTTCCCTCTCTCCTTCCCTTTGCAACCCCCAGTTCCAGTCACTCATTCAGCACCCCATTTTAACCCCGTGGCCCTAGATCCCTTTATCCCCCTCCATGATAGCGTTTCCCTCCACCCACTTCTCGCAGGGCTCACCATTCAGGGCCAGCCCAGCGGTGCGGATTTGTGGCACGGGTTGTTTAAATTCTCAAATCCTCGCGTGGAGTCGGAGTTTCGTTTAATTGGGAGAAAAATTCCTGGCTGTATGGCTGGAGTGGTTGCTACTGCTTTTTAGCAATGTTCTGAAATTCATAGCTTTAAAGGATCAGGCATTTTGATCCGAAAGGAACTTTAGAGTTCATTGTTTTACAGATGAGACAATTGAGTCTAGAGAGGATAAGTGACTTGTGCAAGGCCACACAGAACTGGGATTCCAACCAAGATCTTATGACTTCAAATCGGGTACTCTCCCATTGATACACTGATTTGTCAGTGAGAGACATGTAGATTAAAATACCCTATTCTAGTCTGAGTGGAAATTATAAGGGATGAAGGGTTGGAAAGTTTGTGTTTTCCCCTAGAACTGTGGCTTTTGGGTCACAATTGTGTTTATAGGAAAGGTGACTGCTGAAAGGGACCTAAGGTGTTCTAATCCAACCCCCTCATTTTACAGGTGAACCATATTGAGGCCCAGAAAGGTTAACACAGAGAGTTAGTAGGTGGGATCTTTCAAAGCTATGTTCTCTGACTGTTTTGATGTTGCATTTCAAGATTTCTTGTGAGAAATGAGTGGATGGATGCTTGAGGCAGAGAAAGAATCTAACTGTGCTCACTGCATTATATTACAGGAATGGCTTTGAGTGGAAGGCTGTTTATCCATCACTAAACATTTATTAACCACCTTCTATATGCCAGACACTGTGCTAAGCACTGTTACATACATCAGATCTTTCCCTTGTCATTGATAGCATTATTACTCAAAATAAAGCTCAATGTAAACTTGTATGGTCAAAAATCCAACTATAAGTGGGCAATAACAATTAAGCAGTTGATGCCTTGTTAAACAATTGGTACTTTTGTAAATATCATTTTAAATGAGCTAGGGGAACTTGCAAACATCTCCTACTATAAGTCCTTTCAAATGATCACCCTCAAATTTCTCTTATGAGTAAATCCAAATTTTTGTATATTGGCTTGTCTTAATGTGAGACATACCAATATATGTCTTTCAAATATATCAAACAGATTTACCCAAACTTTGCTAAACATTTCTCATAGTTTTTAGAACCAAAATAGACCTCAGAGCTGGTCTAGACCAGCCCTTTCATTTTACATTTGAGGAAAGATTTGCTAAAGATCATGAAGTTTGTAAGCAGGAGACCCAGAATTTGAACCTAGGTCTAAGACTCAAAAAAACCAAAGCTTTTCTCACTGTGTTAGTCTGTCTATCACACTATCTGGCAGGTGACAGCAGTGAGCATTATTTATCTGAGGACAATCCTCAGATTGAGGCTGGATTTGAGGCTGGATTTGAACTCAGGTCCTCCTGACTTCAGAGCTGGTGCTCTATCAACTGCGCTACCTAGCTGCCCCCTCAGTAGTCTTTAAAATCTATTTCTATTCATTCCTCACTTTAGGTAACATTGCACAGTTAATCTTTTTACTTAAAATTTAGGGAAAAGTACTGGACCTATAATTTCACTAATATATCGAACTTCTGGGTTCATGTTCCCCCAATGACTCATACTGGCTGTGGGACTCTGGGTGAACCATTTAACTTTTCAATGCTCTAGGCAAACTGTCTACCTAAAAGAATGATTATTCCTTTGTCATTTATTGTTTCCAAATCACATTGTTTTATTTGTTCTGCACAATTAACATCCCTGTGAGGTAGACAATGCTAATATTATGCCTATTCTATAGATGAGGAAATGGAGGCTCTGAGAGTTGCTCAAGGTCATGAAGTTAGTAAGAAGCAAAGCTTGGACTTCAGTCCAAATCTTCAGCCTACAGACATAGGACCTAATAATTTTCCCACTATAATACAGTAGCAGGTAGAATAAGAACTACATCTTAATGGCAGGGCACTTTGAAATTAAGGATGCTTTTCATTTGAAAAACAAACAAACAAACAAACAAAAAACAAACCAGTTAACTCCTTAGGTCTCTAAAGGGCTCAGAAGTATATCTGTTTTGCTTTTTAGACTCTGCCCCTCTAACTCCAGAGTTTTCTAGACTTTTATCAATAGTTTAAAAAATAAATGCTTCTCTCTCTCTCTCTCTTAAAAGTTGTATTTTCCATTTGAATCAAATAGATAATTGCCTTAGTTCTTTGTTCCACTTTGACTATGGAGAGATGCCAAGGAAGTGATCTGGCTTTTGCTTGCAAAATTCACCTGGCAGATTTTTAAAACAGATAGAACCACCTATTAACAATAATTTTGTTGTTTAGTCATTTTTCAGTTGTGTCCAACTCTTTGTGACCCCTTTTGGGGCAAGATGCTGGAGTGTCTTTATTTCCTTCTTCAGTTCATTTTATAGATAAGGAAACTGAGACAAACAAGGCTAAGTGACTTGCTCAGGGTCACACAGATAGTAAGTGTTAATAATAATAGCTGACATTTATATGTCTTAAGATTTGCAAAATGCTTTGTATTTATTATCTTGTTTGTGCCTCACAATTACCTTGTGTGTACCCCAATTTATTATAGAGTCTGTTTTAAGAAAGAGACAAATGAGATTAGAGTGCATGTGTGCAGGGTTTAATTTCTCTCAAGCTTGCAATGCTCCCATTGCATGGGAGTTCAGTCCAAACCTGGGCCCACCCTAAGGGGGCCAGTTCAGAACTGGCTCGATTTGGGATTTTGGGGTACAGAGTTATATACCTTTTTAACAGGGGCTCATATCAACCCACCATCATTCCACCAGACCACTCCCAACCTCCATCTATCTGGGCAGGAGTATTTGTCTCCACCCAAGCCTGAGTAGGATAAAATCAATTCAGATTTGGGTCAGGTTTGACCAGGATAAGAAGATTCAATGTAATCCCATTATGAGTGATGTCCTTCTGAAGAACTTTAAAAAAGAAGGCTGGGGGGTGGAGTTCTGAATCTCCAAGACACAGATTACCAAGAGAAATTATTTTTCACACTTGTAAGGGGCACATGACAGGTATTAACCCCATTTTACGGAAGAAGAAGCTGAAATTCTCAGGTGCTAAGTGATTTGCCCATGATGACATAGCTAGCAAGAGTCAAAAGAAGGATTAGAACATTGGTCTTCTTGGCCCAAGTCCCATATACTATACACTATATCTATACACTATTCCAGTAAATAAAAATACAATAAAACATGGATGACATCATATTTTGAAACTAAGTGAACATGCCCCAAGGGGATCCTTATGTTTGTGTCCCTCTCAGTTTTTTATTTGAGTTTGACACCACTTCATTAGACCATCTTGGTGCTGCTGCTTAATCATTGATTGTCACTAATTAATGGTGACTAAGAATGATTCTGCCTTGTAACCAGAATCTGATTTTTTCCCTTTGAACCATAGGATTATGAGAAAAATGAGAACTTTGCTTTTCTCTTTCTTGGATTCAACATGCTAGAGTAAGAAAAGGCCATAGAACTTGTCCCAGAATAATAAGACAAAAATTTTTTTAAATTTTTTTTAAGTTCTTGGATGAAAAATAATTTAAATGGAAAGAGTTTACCACTAATAGGAAGTTATCACCCTATTGATTGTGACAATAATAATAATATTAGCTAACATTTATATGGGGCAGCTAGGTGGCTCAGTGGATAAAATGTAGAGCTTGGGGTCAGGAAGACCTGAATTCAAATTCAGCCTCAGACACTTACTAGCTGTGTGATCTTGGGCAAGTCACTTAGCCTTGTTTGTCTCAGTTTCCTCATCTGTAAAATGAGCTGGAGAAGGAAATGGCAAAACACTTTAGTATTTCTGCCAAGAAAACCCCAAATAGAGTCATGAGGAGTCAGAAAGGGCTGATCAACAACAACCACAATGAAGCATGGATTTTGGAGTGGAGAAAGGCTTGAGATTGGGAGATTAATTCGGAGGCTATTAAAATAGTTTAATCAGGAGGTAATAGGGGCCTGAACTAGGGTCATGGCTATGTGATTGGAGAGGAAGGAGAATATGTAAGAGATTTTGTGGAGATAGAAATGACAAAATTTGGTACCTGATTGGATGTGTGGGATGAATGAGGAGAGTGAGGAATCAGGGATGACCCCAAATTTGTGAACCTGAGGAGGATGGTGATTCCCTCAAGAGTTGTAGGGAAGATTTGAAGAGGGGGTTTTTGTTTGTTTGTTTTTTGGTGGGGGGAAAGACAATGAGCTCTTTTGAGTTTTATGTGACATGCAGTTGAAAATAGCTGATAGGCAGTTGGTTATGTAAGACTAGTAATTAGAAGAGAGAAAAGAATTGGAATGCACTTCCTCCTGATAGCTACTTTATTGCGTCCCTCTCTTTTTTTTTTCACAATTCAGATCAAGCACCTTCTACGCGAGATCTTTACAAAACTGATAGTGCCCTCCCTCCCTAACTACTTTGTATTTAACTACCCTGTATTTATTTTGCATATACTTATCTGTATACATATGTATACAAATGTAAACTCTTTGAGAATAGAAATGTTTCTTTTCTTTCATTTTTTTTTTATATTTGTGTCCTTAGTACTTAGCATGGTGCCTCTCACATTATGGTTGCTTAATAAATTCTTGTTGATTGATTGATGTATAGATCTGGTTGTCATCTGCATAGAGTTGATAATTAAACTTCTGGGAACTGATGCAATCACAAAGTATGGGAATTCCAAGTGAAAAAAGAAGAAGGATGAAGACAAAAGTCTAAGGGTATACCACAGTCAGTGTGACATAAATGATGGTCAAGCAAAGGGGACTGAAAAAGAAGTGATCAGACAGGAGAACCAGGAGACAGCAGTATCATGAAAACTCAG